TTCACACTTTGAATCCATACAGACAAGGTTAGAGAGAGCCTTTGTTAAGTACCACCAACGACCTCAACAAAAAAAATTTTACTTTTTCACAGATAGGAAAAAAACACTAGACGGAGTGGCGCAAAAGTCACTTTGTCGCAAAAAAATTGAATATCTTCACTATGGCTCGAGCAAAAGAGCTGATTCTTTTATCAATGATAGAGACATGTTCAAGCTTTATATTCATAAAGACATGCCTAGAGAGATCCTTTGTTAAGTCTATTGTTTTTTTTCTTATCTGTGAAAAAGTAAAATTTTTTTGTTGAGGTCGTTGGTAGTACTTAACAAAGGCTCTTTCTAACCTTGTCTGTATGGATTTAAAGTGTGAACATGCTTCTATTATTGGTAGAAAAATCAGCCTGTTTGCTCGAGCCGTAGCAGAGAAATATGCAATTTTTTCTAACTCTAGTGACTTTCTGGACACCCTATATAACTCGTTTATTTATTATTTATTGACATTTTTCTTTTTCGTATATATGTTTATTGAGAAGAAGCTTATTTTTAGTTTTTTATTGCAACAACTGATTATTGGACATAGACAGATAGATAACATTTTGGTCAATTATTTAAATATTTCTATTATTATAACATATTCAAAAAATTATCTTTTATCAATAAAAGCACATAGAATATTTATTAACTTTGAAAAAAAAACTTATATTCAGATTTCAAATTAAATTGTTAAACAATTCAAATCGATATTTATTATAGAATTTAAAAATGAATTTTTAATAAAAGTCTTTGCCAATTTCGACAACTAAATATTAACTTTTCATCAATGTCGATAAGATGAACAAGCAACATTCAAGGTAATACATTATATTTGCCAATATAGAGGATGATCCAAAAGTAACCCGACGATCTTTGATTGCAAATAAGTTTAAATAGGAACAAGATAGAGAGCTGTAGTTTTCACTATTCGAAAGAGAAAATGAAGATCCATCGAATTCTATAATATAAGATAATTTAACCTAATTTTTTTCAAGGATTTAAACCGATGTTTTTGAAAAGCAACGTACTTGGTAAGGTGACTACACTGAGAGAAGTTCTAAATATGCTAGTTGAAATTCTGAGCCGATTTTTCTATTCATTTCTATGAAGAAATTCATTTTTTGCCTTTTTCTTATTTTATAAGAAAATATTTTTCTGGCAATTTTTTTAGAAAATTGATTAAGAAAATATCTTAGAAAAAACTATTATATATGGTTCGATGTGTCCTCATCTCCTCTTGCGAACGGTGACAACTGTAGTTCTCTATCTTGTTCCTATCAAAAGTTATTCATAATCAAACACTGCCGGGTTACTTTTGGACTATTCTCTATATCTACGAGAGTTTTCTTTCAAACGATAATCTATCTTCATTGGAATTTTTCCTCTACTCATTTATATCATCATTAATTATAAACATAAAAAAACAACAACCAATTTATTTTTTTCAATTATTTAATCTATTTTTAAATATATTCCTGGATGTTTCGAACGCTCGATGACTAATGGAACCAATTTGAAGATTTTCGCTTAAGTTCACCGGACTTTGGGAATTAGTGAGCAAAAGAAACCAATATTAAACTCATAGAGATGTGCAAGATCAAAACTCTAGTTCATAGTCAATGCTTTTAGGTAAATTATCTTATAAATGATATGAACAAGAACATAAATGGAAGATAGATTAACTCAAATAAATAATATTCTTCAACTAAAAAAATCAGAAAAACGATTATTGAAGAATTTTTTCGATGTCACACACCAGAAAAGAAGTTGTTAGGACCAAAAAGACATACTTCTGCATATGTCTAAACACTGGTTATTATACCCTATTTATAGTCAAATTGTCGTAAAGGTAGTTAATTATTTAAATAGTATATCTAATTGATATAGAGATACGAAAAATTTTTTTTTAAAAAATATTTCTCATATGTATTAGTTAATCTATATAAAATGAAAATAATCTAATTGGTTATTATAAAATAAGTGAATAAGTTATTCGATAGATATCACTAGGATGTATTTTCTTTTATTAGTTTTTTATTTTAAAATACATAAATGACTTAAATAAAATAAAAAAAATGTTAGTATCGAAGACGATGCATTTTTGAGGAGGTTTATATATTCTATCGATGTTGCACGTCTTCAAATCGTGTGTTCTTATGTGACTTGATATTTTTCTGCGCTCTACGGCAATTGGAATCATCAACAACAAGAAAACAACAACAATAATACGTAAGGAATAAAGAGTTCTTTTTTTCAAGGACAAATTGATAATTTTCGACAATTTTTCTTTTATCTTTTTTTCTAATTTAGTTATTCATATAAATAAAGCAGAATGGCAAAGGTAAATATAATTGAATATATTTAAAATAAATGAAAATAAATGAATTTATTTAGAATGAGAAACCACAATTAAGTTTCATTGAAAATTTTGCACTAAGTGGTCTTGCTGCAGTTGTTTCAAAAACAGCTGCTGCTCCAATTGAACGTGTTAAATTACTCGTACAAAATCAAGGTGAAATGTTAAAACAAGGTACTCTAACACGACCATATAGTGGTGTTATTGATTGTACTGTTCAAACATTTAAAAATGAAGGTTTACTTCCATTTTGGCGAGGCAATTTAGCTAATTGTATTCGATATTTTCCAACACAAGTTTGTTTAATTAATAAAATATGAAAAAAAATTTGATATTATTATTGTTTTTTGTTTAAATAGGCATTAAATTTTGCATTCAAAGATAAAATAAAAGCAATGTTTAAACAAAATAAAAATGATCCATATATGGTTAATTTTGGTAAAAATGTAGCAAGTGGTGGTGTAGCCGGTGCATTATCATTATGTTTTGTTTATTCACTTGATTATGCTCGTACACGTTTAGCTAATGATGTTAAAAGTACGAAAAAAGGTGCTGGGGAACGTAAATATAATGGTCTTATTGATGTTTATAAAAAAACATTAGCAACTGATGGTTTTGTTGGTCTTTATCGTGGTTTTGTTATATCATGTGTTGGAATAATCGTCTATCGGGGTTGTTATTTTGGTTTTTATGATACATTAAAACCAATTTTACTTGGTCCAGATGCTGGTATTATGTTATCATTTTTACTTGGTTATGGTGTAACAGTTACATCTGGTCTTATATCATATCCAGTTGATACAATTCGACGACGTATGATGATGACATCGGGTCAAGCTGTTAAATATAATGGTGCATTAGATTGTATGTTTCAAATAGTACGACAAGAAGGTGTTATAGCTTTATTTAAAGGAGCTGGTGCCAATATTCTTCGAGGTATTGCCGGTGCTGGTGTTTTATCTGGTTTTGATAAACTTGTACAAGTTTATACCGGTGTTAAAGTTGATATCAGTGCTGGTGGTTAATTATTATATTAATTTAATAATTAACTTTAATAGAAATTTTTCTTTTTTCTTTCTCCATTCATATCCTTATTATATTATGAAATTCCTCGAATCCTTTGTGTTATTGATCTAGTTTAATTTTATAACAAATGTGTTTTTTTTTTGACGAATCTATCCAATTGTAGTAGCAGTTACGTGTGTCTACCGATTTGTGTCTTCGATTATTGTAACGACACAATAAGATATCGAAATAACACAAAAATATTTTCAAAAATCCAGCGATGATCAAAAAAACAAATATTTATTTTTTATTTTTGAATTCAAGAAAAAAGTATTTATTTATATTCTCAGTTATTTATATTAAATTAATCTCATTTTATAGATTAACATTAGAATTAGTTTAGAGATTTCTATTTATTTCAATTATATCAATATAGAATGAGTAAAATTTCAACGACTGATTAATCGATATTCACTTAGGATTATCTGCATTATCAAGACTTTAATCAACTTTAAATATTCTAGAAAGAGTTCGGACCTTAGCTTTTTCTTGCGTAGATATTGCATATTGATGAGAATTTTTAAATAAATGTCATCGTCGACGTCAAAAATATAATCAAAATTTATAGTCGAAATCTGACTATAAACTTAGGATAGATCGATGGATCTTAACAACAACAATTTTTTTATTAAAGTTTAACGTCTTTTGGTGTATTTCTATCCAGAAATGAGAATGTAGAATCTGTCTGTGTATATCATCGTTGTAAAATAAAGGTATTTACTATAGGCTTAGGATAAGAACAACGAAAATATTTGAGACCTTGACAAATAAATTAATCTTGTTAATGTCTATCTCTATCCAATGTTTATGAGAGAAAATATCGAATACACCAATAAATCAAGGGTTCCAAGTTTTTTCAGTGTGTCGATTGTTGATTATGATCTGTACCGGAGGTCCAATCAGGCCACGTTTTGAAGACCCGTCAACTTTTTCAAGAGAATAAAATAATGATGACAGACTAGAAATCAGAAGTCCAAAGAGGGCATTAAGGCTATTATCCTATTCGAGCTTGATCTAACTGCCATAGGCACAGACCACGATTTTCAGACCAGTGTCAATCACAGGTCCAAGAAGATTGCTGATCTGTCACTTACGCTGGTGTGAACATCATGATTCGTACCTATGACAAGCAGATCAGGCCCGGGTAGGATAGTAGACCTAGTGCTCTCTTTGGATCTCTGATTTCTAGTCTGTCATCATTATTTTATTCACTTGAAAAAGTTGACAGACCTTCAAAACGTGGCCTGGTTCGATCTCTGATCTGCATTATATGAATTGTCTGGATTGATAAGACAATAATTAATTCTAATAATTCTCTCTAAAAGTAATTTAAAATAAAAGTTAAAGTTTAAAAGTGAATATTGGAATTGTAGAAAGATAATTAATGATGTGAATATTGTTTTTCTCTATGAAATAAAATATAAATATATAGATAAATAATTGAATTCATTTTTGAAAAGATGAATGAATACTAAAAAAAAAATAAATATGAGATAAATATTTTATTGAAAATCTTATTGATGTTTTTTTCTTCTATATAATAAGAAAAATGTTAATTGAAGTTGAACATTGGTCTGGTGCTGGAAATCGTTTTGTTATTGTTGATAATAGAAAAAAAGAAATAAATAATCAATGGAATATATTAGTCAGTTATTTATGTAAACGAAATAATTTACCTAATGCTGAAGGTCTTCTTGTTTTACTTGAAATCGATAAAAATAAATCAATTTGTATTTATGATTTTTATAATCCAGATGGTTCAACAGGAGTCATGTGTGGAAATGGAGCAAGATGTGCTGTACGACATGCTGCATTAACAGAAAATTTTTCTAGTAATCAAATAGAATTAATATTAAATGGTTGTTCATATAAATCAAAACTTCTTGATAATGATCGTGTTGCTTTAGAATTTCCATTATATAAAGAATTACGTTTTATTGATGATTGGACATATGTTAATGTTGGTAGTCATCATGTTATTATTGATGCTCGTTATTTAATTAAATCAATTGATGATTTTTATCAATTTGATTTAATTAAATTTGCCAATGAAAATTTAAATTTATATCGAAATAAAATTGGAATTAATAATATTAATTTAAATCTTGCTTATTTTATTAATGATCAATCGAATATTTACTTACGAACATATGAAAATGGAGTTTTTCATGAAACACAAGCATGTGGAACAGGTGCTATTAGTACTGCTATTGCTTTTTGGAAAAAAAATATTATTAATAATAATATTATACAAATAATACCAATAAGTCAAAGATTCTTAACTGTACATTTAGATATTGATCAGAAAAAAGAGAATATTTTAGGAATGACTTTAGAAGGTGATGCCCAACAAGATGCACCTTCAACTCTATTTGATACAACATCTATGGCATATATATAAATGAATATATATTTTAAATGATTTATTGATTGTCTTTCACAAGATTTTTATTAGAATTTTTTTATAAATGATTTTATTCAGATAGATTTTTAATAAAATTTAATTAAGTTACATACAAAAAGATTTTATTTCGTATTAATAATATGATTATTCGAATCGATAATTTCCATAATATAATCTACGATGCATATGTATCTGCATAAATGTCAAAGTGTGTTATGTTTAAACGGAAAGTGCTAGGAACAAGGGGGAAATATCGTACTTTTGTACTTTAAAGTACTCAAAGTACAATAGAGTACTTTAATGTAACGGGTGTCCTAGAAAGAATGGTCCTCTCAGTATTTTACCAATATCTCCATCAATTCTCATTTGTTTGGACTTTATTTTTCTAAAGTACATTATATGATCTTGTTCATGTTTTATATACTCATAATGAACGTGATACAATTGCTGAGTCAATTTTACTTCGTGTTATTATACCTCCTAATGCACAAGCTCGTGTTATGTTTGAAACATCATTTGTTGGTGGACAATGTGCAACATTAATCGAAAGTAATAAAGTAATTTAGTCATGCGATGCTGTTACAACAAATCAACGAAAATTTAATGTTGAGAAGGATTTAACATCAGGTGTTAATGACAGTATATATTGGTTCAGATCAATATGGATTTGAAGCATTATGAAAATAGATAGACTATATTTTCCAATAAATCGATTAATATATTTATTCTTTGTGTTTGAATAATTTTTTATCGATTTATGAAAAATAAAAATCTCTAGGTTTTTCTTTATTATAGAAAGAAAGAAAGCTGTTCAACAATTTAAATCAACAATCCAAATTGATTCTTTCAAATCAGTGAAAAACTTTAACTGCAGAAATAACAAAAAGATTTTTTTCTAATGATTACCAGGCATAAGCTTGTCACCGATGTATCCCTCTTGCTTGAAAATAAACTTGTCATGCAAAGAAAATGACGTCATCTATCTTTAACTGTACAATAGATAGAAAGAAAAGAATGTGAAAGTTTTAATGATTTTCATGGATGAAAGAAAAGAAAAAAATGAGTTAGGAAAATGGAGACGATGAAAGTGAAACGAAAAGATGTTAGGATGACAAAGAAAAGAAAGAAAAAGATATGCAGACATGAACATGATTATACATATACATACATATAGTAAAACATTATGATTAATGATTATTTTTTTACGGAATAAAACAAATAGTCTTTTTCCTAGATAAATAAAGTTAAATTATCTATTACATATTATATTATGTAGCATAAGTGTTTGTTTATTATTATTTCCATGTGATTATATCTAGAATGGCACAATGGCCACATCTTGACTGTTTACTAATTGAAATTTTTTTACAAACATTCGAATATCTTGATGATGAAGAACTGCTTGATGCTTTTGACAACCTTAATTCAAAATTCAAGATGCCTATTAGAAGGCCAAATCTTAAAATTATTTTTAAACTTTCAGAGGATAATAATCATCTTGTACCAAATGTTTTATTTTTTTATGTTAATGTATTAATAATTGATTGTGAACATGACATTAATTTACATTATTTTGAAAACATTCGTTATCTTTGTATATATCGTTTAAATTATGAATTATTAATACAAATGGATAGTAATACTTTACCATATTTAGAACATTTATCGATAAAATGTGTACCATCTAGTGTTATTCATTTATTAGATACATTATTTTCTAAAAATATTTTTTCGAATTTACAATCATTCTATGTTAACACATTCAAGGCAATGGAGCCCACTGGTGGGCTCCAGTACAGGACGATCCAAAAGTTCCTTTAGCGCAGAAAAATTTGAATATCTCTGCCATATTTTGACCAAAGGGACTGATTCTTTTACCACTGATAAAGGAATGTTTATAGATCATATCCGTAAGAGAAACATTGACAAAAAACTGCTTTGAAGTATTTACAACTCTCATGAATAAAGAAATGCAACTTTCCACGAATTATGAAAAAACAATATTTATATCGCCGCGAATGTGTTAACTATCAGGGAAATGAAATACTACCCATTAGCATCAACAGATGACACTATGTCGACGCTAACTTAATTGAACGAAGTTCAATTGGTTTCTTCTTATTTTCTCATTTGTCGGCGTCTTCCTTTTCGTTCTGTGGTTAATTGGATTTTTCTCTTTCGTTCGTTCAATAGTAAGATTTCTCTTTTTCGTTCTGTCTATCTCTCTCTTTAGAATTTTTTCAGATTTTGTTATCGTTCAGTTATTATTTTGTTTTAGTGGAGAGGAGTAGCATTTAATACTACGTCTCTTGTGTGTGTGTTTTTTGTCTCTATGAAATAAATTATCCATTTGAACTGATCTCACATCCCCTCCTCAACTGATCACAATTTTTGAACGTCAAGGTAAGACCCCTTATATTCTATTATAACATCATTACATAACGTTGACCTAACACTACCTATCAATATTTGTATTCAAGCGCCATTATGAAAGGTTTTAAGAATGGAAAAATAAATTTATCAAGTTATACAAAAATTTTACTTGGTTGTCCAAGGGTGGGGGTGGGTGTGGAGTGTAGGTGTGGGTGTGGGGTGTGGGTTTAAGGATCTCTTTGATCACACCCCACACCCACATCCAAATTCACATGTACAGGTAGTTAAATCGAAAACAAAAGAAACATTAGTCATCCACATTATTTAACATACACATACAAAATTTACATGAACTTGTATTTTATTTACAACAATGGTAAATTTATATATTAAAAGAATGATATTTTACATTCTTTTCGGATTTTTGTTTTGGTTTATTACCAGTTGTTATTGGTAGTTCATCAATATTTATCTTAATGAACTTAAACACCATGAAAGATACAACATTCCATCGTATTATATCACTTGGTGCAATTGTGGTGTGTTTTGTAGCCGCGGGCTCAGCTATTTATTGTAAAGTTCCAGAAACGAAAATATTTAGCAAAAAACACAATATCATAAAATGTGGCACATGTAATTTCAATTTATATAGATGTATTTCATTCGTTATTAGGGGTGTCAATTTACATTTACTTTCAATTTAATTTACACGTAAATTAAATTATGAGAAACTTATGTTTATTATAAATGTAAATTACTTATAATTTATATTTATTTTGTATATAAATTTTTTACTTTTTGTAATTTATCGAATATAAATTAAAATAAATAATCATATTTCTGTATGATACTTTACATAAGAAATATCCTAGTCTTAATATTATTTTTATGTACGTATAATTTATTTGTTGTACTATCTTTTCATTCAATTAATAATTAGTTCTCAATTTGCGAAAAGATCTCACCATTTATCGTGATGAGTTTTTCAAAGAAGAGTCAAATCAGACTTTGCAGACTATGAAAATAGAAAACGCCACAAACTGCCAATGAAAAGTTTAAAACATTTTTCGCGAACGACACACTTATTAGAAATCACTAATTATTTTTGACTAAATATAGTTAGAGCTTGTAGATACAAAAGCAGTTTTTTTTTCTACATGACAAAGTTTTATTCCAATCTAATTAAGTGACGAATTAATGCACAGTTTCGAGCGTTTCTCATATAGAATAAGTATTCATTAGGTTTTCCCAAATAGGCTTTTTTTTTATGTACACGAGGGATATTTTAAGACATGACATGTCTATTCTTGTGTTGTTTATTGACTACTTTTGATAAACAGTTTCTTCAGATATACATGACATAGATAGAAAAAACAATAGGCATAGAAACTCTTAAATCATAATGTAAAAGTGTTTTAGTATCTTATTTGCGTCACATTGAAGCTGTTATTTTACTTCGGCTGATATGAGAAATATTTAAGCTCTTATTTCTATCTAGTAATCACTTCTATAATTGGATATTGAAACGAAGAGTTTTGACTTTTATTGCACACCGCACTTTTCTAATCTTAAGAGAAGACTAATCGAATTCGTCTTTTATAGTTATTTTAATTTGCCTCGATAGAAAAAAACTTTAAAATACGCACTTGTCACTATGACCTTGTTAATAATAGACTTAAGGTCTCCCCCTCAAAAAAAGCCAATTTTCGTCAGAATTTTCGAAATTGAGATAAATGCATGGGAAGACAGCCTGTCTTCAGATCTTTCAGAAACGACATTGGTTTTTCTTTGGCATCTATTTTTTGGCCAAGATTTTCGATGATTTCCATTGACCTTTTCTTGAAAAATATGCTTATTTTTAGAAAAACGAAAAATGTTTTTCGTTTTTTCTCAGTTTATGACTTTTTGAACTTTTGTCCAAGATTTCTCGGTCCAGGCTCTTTCAATATATTTAAATTTTCTTTTGTTTGAAAAAGCATGTCCAGGTACAGGGCACCACAGAGCTCTTTTTTTAATTAAGCTTTATTTTTTATTATATACAAGGACATTTATGTAGCTAGACACCCACTCTTGGCGCGTTTTTTGAGTCATTGAACTTGTAATCCGCTTTTACCACTAAAAGAGTAAGAATTTTAAAAAAGGGACTCTGTGGTGCCCTGCATCCTGACATGCTCTTTCTAATAAAAAAGAAATTAAATATATTGAAAGAACCTGGATCGAGAAATCTTGGGCAGAAAGTGAGCTATTTTTGACCCTTGTTTGGTTCATATCTCTGTCAAACATCAGGGTATCGAGCTGAAAATTTTACCACAGCTTCCTTACTTCAGCCCCAACATATGCTCCAAATTTCAGCCTATTTGAACGTACCTTGGCTGAGATCGATTTTTGAGGAGGAAGGTCTTAAGTTCCCAGGTCGATCATTACGATCGCCGTATACGGTCGTTTACTATCGTATACGACGCCGTATACGATCGTATACATATTATATACGCTCCGTATACGACCGTATTTCTCCGTAATACATGAGGCCGTATTACGACCGTATATTGCCGTGGACTGTATACGGAGAAATACGGCGAGATACGGAGACCGTATACGGAGCGTTTAGGCTCGTAAACGACCGTATTTCCACCGTATACGGTCGTAAAAGATCGTGTTTTGCCGTGTGTGTGGGGAAAAATATCGACCCTTTTACCTTTAGTTACACGTACATCAGTGATATTTTCACTAAGACGTATGCCTACGTATTTATCTATTCATCTACCTATCTATGTATCTACCTACCTATCTATCTATCTACCTCTACCTATCTATCTATCTATCTATCTACCTCTACCTATCTATCTATCTATCTATCCACCTACCTATCTATCTATCTATCTACTTACCTATCTATCTATCTATCTACCTAACTATCCATCTACCTAACTATTTACCTAACTATCTATCTAACTATCTATGTATTTCTCAATCTATCTACCTAACTATTTACCTAACTATCTATCTAACTATCTATGTATTTCTCAATCTATCTACCTAAAGGATGACCAAAAGTTTTGGTACCTCACAGAAAAATTCCCTTCCCTCTCTTATAAAAAAATCAGAAAAAGCTCAAAATTGGACTAATAGTCAAGCAATACCAGATGAGTATCACTCTAAGTGTTCACAAGTAAAGCTCAAGTTATCGTGAAGATATAAATTCAAACTAAAAGATTTTTTTCGTATCATCTAACCAAGTAACCGGTGTCGATGATAAACGGTTGTATTTTCTATCTTTTTTTTTCTCAATTTCTAATATGCTTCTTGAAAAAAAAAAACATATTAGAAGATGGAGCGACAGAAAATCTACAATCTACAATAGAAAGCTTATTTTATATATGGTCTTTTAGTGTTCAAAATGGATGAGAATGATGAAAAGAGAAAATAAAGAAAAAAAAGGAATTCGTCATGTATAAAAAATAACTTTTTCGCAACATTAGAATTCACTCACTTCGAAATCTGCTGATTTCGAATACTAAAAGACCATATATAAAATAAGCTTTTTATTGTAGATTATAGATCTTTTGGCGCTCCATCTTCTAATATATTTTTTTTTCAACAAACATATTAGAAACTGAGAAAAAAAGATACAAAATATGACTGTTTATCATGGGCACCGGTTACTTAATTAGATGATGCGAAAAAAAATCTTTTAGTTTGAAGCTATATATCTTCACTATAACTTAAGCTATGGTTGTGAACATCTAGATTGATACTCATTTGTTACTGCTTGACTATCAATCCAATTTTGCGCCTTTTTAATTTTTATCAGAGAGAAAAGAAATTTTTCTATGAGCTACCAAAACTTTTAGACAAACCTTTATCTATCTATTTATATATTATTGGGAGCAGAATTCTAGTGGTGATTTTACTGAGATTTGTCATGGACTTCATATCTTCTTTAGCTTCAACATAACAATATAAAATAACCAAAGTGAATAATATCTAACAGATAATAGTTGCTTTTCAAGAATAATCGATCCTTAGAGAATCGATCTGTCTTATTTATTTCTGTGTTTCTAACAGAATTTTTTTCTCTTATTTTTTTTTACTGGCGCTTCATTATTTATTTGCGTTGTTGTCATTCGCTTGTGATTTATTTTTTTTTTATTTCATCTTTCCTAATTTACTATTATTATTACTATTATTTTTGTTCTTGTTCTAACCAATGATTTGCTTAAGAAATTAGCCGGTTGTACATCTTCATTGTATCTGCGGCAGGTCCCAACGCACTACTATGGACCTTGATAAACTTATCAAGTACTGGTTTTGATGGTTCTCTCAAATTAGAATTTGATCAATTAATACTTTGTGTTGCTCATATGACGATCGTAGTAAATCAATACATCACCAGTTATCATCCATCTTTTATATGTATCATATACTCATTAATTTGAGCAAAAATCAGAAACCGTACTATATATAGCATTCGAAAACATAGTCCAACCATTTAAATTTCAAGGAAAGCTTTGAAATGTTCTAGCACAATCTGAGCCGTGTTTGTTAACACCGTTAAGCGCCCTTTACCGTTGCTAAAGAATCATGGGAAATGAGTCTGATGCTTGTTGTATGTCGGTTACTATGGCAGAATTTGTGTCCAGCGCTCTTTAACCTTCGACCGCGGCTGCTAAGGCCTGTAATGAGGGAATCGAGGGAAGATGAGCCTGAAAATCTTCCATTTAAACTTATACTCACTATTTTTCTTCGAAAAATATATGTGAATTGCACAAAACGTGTTGTTCATTGAATTGTACAGTTATGGTAGCTGTATACGACCAGATACGATCGTGTACGGTGATATACGACCGTATACGGCAGTCGTATAACTCCGTATACGGAGCATAGATATTTATCTTTTAATCACTCCGTATTTTTGTACGATCTCCGTTTACGGAATCCGTTTCTCACCGTATTGCTCCGTATACGCGCATCGTATACGGAAGCCGTGCACGACCTCCGTATATCTCTGTCTTTCTCCGTAAACGACCGTTTACGAGCGTGCATGTTCGACCTGGGTTGCTGTTTGAAAAAAAAGGATTCTGTTAAATTGTAATGATCATATAGGCTATGAAATCGTTTTCTCTTTCTTCAAATCTGTAGTTCCTACAGTTTCCAATATGCCAAGAACGATAAGGCTTAGAGAGCAGTATTTGTGGCTCTTTATAACAGCAATAAGAATTGAACGTTTTACAATGACAATGAAAAATGAATGCTATAAAGTTTCTCGTATCCAAAGAAACTGAAACTATGATATAGAAAAACTTCATTGGTTTTCATATGACTAGAAAATTTTAATATTGGATAGCAGTCAAAAGTCATCATTTTAAGATCCTATGTATAGGCTGTTATGAAACCATTATGGCTCATTCCACGACTTAAAGTATAAATGATATCATAAAGTATTTTATACGAAATTAATGCTCATCAAAAACTGGGTTTATGAATGTAATTAGAGCAATTATTTCCTATGAAATTATTGAAATTGCTTGAATTAGATGTCAAAAGGAGCTCGTACTTTACGATTTTTATTCTTCATGTAGATATTTTCCAAAAAAAATATAGCAGATTTGTGATCTTCATCAAAAAGAAAGTTTATAGACATCATTTATATATTTTTGACAAAAAAGAACCTTTTTGAAAAATATCCCGGAAGCTATCCCATGGTAGTGTTCTTTTACAGACCTAATATTATAAAATCAACGATAGTTTTTTGCCAAAATAAGGCCGTATATTTCAATTTTTGCTTTTTTGTTACATTCATCAGCAATACTTTCAAATTCGTGATCTTCGTCAAATAGTGCATCCACTGATATATAAATCGAGATATTTCAGTTCAAGGAAACACTTTTTGTCTGCAGTACTCCCTCATGATTTTTTTCTCAATTTTTTTTTTCGACAAAAATATACAAATGGTATGTCTATAAATTTTCTTTTTGATGAAGATCACAAATCTGCGATACTTTTTTTGAAAATATCTGCATGAAGAATAAAAATCGTAAAGTACGAGCTCCTTTTGACATGTAATTCAAGCAATTTCAATAATTTCATAGGCAATAATTGCTCTAATTACATTCATAAACCCAATTTTTGATGAGCATTAATTTGATATAAAATACTTTATAATATCATTTATACTTTACGTTATAGAGTGGACCATAATGGTTTTATAAAACCCTGCATATATAATTTGAAGGCCAACGAAATTGCACCTATTAGTACTTTAATTGCAGAAACTGTATTACTAACGCGAATTTTGTGATGCATATCAGAGATGAGCGGGCGAGGTGGTGACGGTGCATCGCCAGATTTCGCAGTTTCCCCGTGCATTGAAACCACTAAATTTTTTTCCAGAGAGCACTGCCATATATCTCAAAATTTGGAGAATTGCTCACTTCCTCCGTGGATGACAACAATATCTAAGGGCTGAAAAATAGGAATTCTTACTCTATCGAGGAATGATCAGTGTCGCTGTGGTAATTCCTCAGGAAAATTGACATCGACCATTCGTTGTCCCACAGTCACACGATTCATAAAAGTCACCGTAATGTGTTTTTTTAAAACAATCTGTGCACGTAATTATTTCTTTCACAATTTTCCGGGTGAAAATGAGTATCAGAGCAAGAAGTATCGTGAATATTCTACATTTTCAGCTTTCATATTTACTAAACTGCAGGGGAACTGATGAAGAATTACTGTTTCTCAATCCTTGGACACCCCTCTCACATTCATATCCAGACCCATCCTCCTTATTTATATGCACTAGAATTATTTAATGTCATATCATGAAAAAAACAGTATTTACGAGGGGTGGCTACAAAGTCATGGTCCCTAAAAATATGTTGTTGGCAGGCGATGCGGTACAAAGCCACACGATGGCGGGGCAGATAAAAATCTAGTGCGACGTGGTGGTGTGCCTTTTTAGCCGCTCCGCTCACCTCTGGTGCATATTGCTAATTTCACAAGAAAATATACATTAGATAGAAAATTCATATCATAGAAGTTAATCAACAGCGTATATCTTCTTCACCAATATATATGTTTCATTTTGACAATAAAATGGGAAAATTATAATATTTTTGCTGTTCAAAAAGCTATCAAGATACCAACAAGGTTAATTGGCAGTTTATACATCTATCTTGTCTGTTTACTTCGTATTTCGAATTAATTTATCAACGCGAAAATTCACATAGACAAAAATGAGAATTTTTTCATGATAAAATGACGAAGACTGTTAATTTACCTCATCTGAAATCAGTTTCTGATTGTCTAAAAAAATTTGTTTATCATCATCTCTAGAATAAAGCTGTGAAAATAGCCGAAAGTGAGCATTAATTCATTACTTAATTAGATTGGAATAAAACTTTGTCATGTAGAAAAAAAAAACTGCTTTTGTATCTACAAGCTCTAACTATATTTGATCAAAAATAATTAGTGATTTCTAATAAGTGTGCAGTTCGCGAAAAATGTTTTAAACTTTTCATTAATACTTTGCGACGTTTTCTATTTTCCTAGTCCGTAAAATCTGATTTGACTCTTCTTTGAAAAACTCATCACGATAAATAGTGAGATCTTTTCGCAAATTAAGAACTATTAATTGAATGAAAAGATAGTACAACAAATAAATTATACGTACATAAATATAATATTAAGACTAGGATATTTCTTATGTAAAGTATCATACAGAAATATGATTATTTATTTTAATTTATATTCGATAAATTACAGAAAGTAAAAAATTTATATATAAAATAAAAATAAATTGTAAGTAATTTACAATTATTATAAATGTAAATTATTTTGTTGCAGAATTTACGTTTAGAAATAAATTATCATAATCTACATTTATTTGTAAATGTAAATTCTGCAACTAAAGAATTTACATTTATAATAAATATAAATTTCTCATAATTTATATTTATTATAAATTAAGTGGTAAATGACACCCCTAGAAAGGATTGAACTCTATGTAAATAATCGTGGCAACTATGCTCAACGTTGGATAAAATAAAATTGAAAATATCTGCAAATCTTTATATCACTCTTTAATGTGCTTAGAACTGTTGGTACGACCCAAGTACCTCCATATACCTCCTATACCTTCTGTATCTTGATAAACAGGAAACAAAAGGGTTGTCCGGAAATCCAAATGAATTTCCTGGAAATTCCAATAAAGCATCATACGCTTATTGTGATCAATATTGTCAAGAAATTATATGATTTACCACATAATTTGCTAAAAATCAAGGAAATTTTAACAAAAAACTTTGTTTTCCTGTTTTTGGTCCCAGTCTGGTCTCTGTAAATTTTTATGTTTTGGTCTTGACAACTCTTTAGTTTTTGATCTCGTGTATCTCTCATCATCATGAATGATGGTGCTGTCGAGAACCAAGGTCTGAGTAAAGATTAGGGGCCTCGATAAGTGTGATGAAGTTGAGAACAAAATCAGACTGAATAATTGTATAACACGATAATTTTACGGAAAAACTAACTCTCGCTGAGAATCCTTTACCCCACTATCATTACTTCCGCTCTCTCACTCAGATCTTCTCCTTCACTCTCACCATCATCCTTAACTCCACTCGTGTTTGTATGATCGGTTTTCTTTGTTAGTTCTGCAGTTCTCAAAATGATATGCCAATTTTGCCTATAATATATATGTATCGTTTTCTTTTGCCTATTTTATGTGTATATCATTGAAAAAAAATGTGAAGAAAATGTTTTTGAGAATGTGCCGTCGAGATTGAAAAAAAATCCCAGCTTTTTATTCTTTATTAATGCTCCTTTACAGATGATTTTCGTGACTTTCTTGACTCTTTTTTTGACTTAAAATGACTTTCTTGACTTAACTGACTTAATTGACTTACTTGACTTAACATGACTTAAAAGTCAGTCATTTTCCCTAGCGGCGTAACCAGAATTTTGACGGTGGTGGGGCTCAGCTGCTGAAATTCTGCTCTATGGTGGGGCTCGAAATGGAATTTGGCTGGAGCAAGTTTCTTGGGTGGTGGAGCTGAGCCTCACCTGGTCATACCCTGGTTACGCCGCTAGTTTTCCCCTTGTATTTAGCCTACTTTACTAAAAGACGAAAGTATCAAAAGGTAAAAGTGTCCACACAATAAGAAAGTCAAAAACAAAACTAGCACAATGTCGAAAGAAGAAACGTTGCAAATAAAGGTTTATGGAATAGGTAATTACCTTCATCGTTACTCTCACTCCTATCCTCACTCCTCAGTCACAGTTTTCGTTTTCGACATTTCTATATTTCAGCGTTTTTATAGTAATTTTTTTCAACATTTTTACTTTCGATCAAAGTAGGATTTACCATTAAGATCAGCAATAAAATTTCCATGTCTACATTTTATATAGACATAGAAATTAGAACTTCTTTTGCAATTCACACATTCTTTTTTTTGAAATAAATAAATAATGTAATAAATGTAAATTTCAATTGAAATCAATATATTCTAATAGATTAAGAGATACGCAAATCCTTGAAAAAATCATCGAATAAAAGTGAATAGGAAACATATGCCATTTTCACCATTTATGCAACAGATTTGTTTTTTTTTATGATCTGATGATCAATTATGTTTACTTAATTATAAATTATTTGACTAATATACTATCACAATTTTGATAGAGGACACTTCTTGTGCTTTGGGAAAAAGCGTATTATTTAGATGATTATTTTAAAATATTTTTGTCATCTACAGAACCTGATTTTCATGTCGATATATTTATTGAAAGATTTTAACTAAGGTAAGGATAAGATAAATGCTGATGTAAGTCTATTTATTTGTAATCTGTATGATGGATAGTTATTAGCGATCAGAAGAAAATATATTAATTTTAATGCTATGATTTAGAGTATAACTCTGAATAAGGATTTTTTAATCCTTTCAAATGGTAAAATTGTCTTTTCATTACCAAATTTAATTATAGGAAAATATCATGCTCTATAATGTCGTCGCTTATTCACGGACCGATTGCTTTTTCTACTGATAATTATATTTCGTGATGAAATATCTTATTTTTCATGATCAAAACTATGAATATATCCTAAGAATTTTGAAATTTGAACGTCCAGGAGAAAGAAATCATCAAAGAAACAGACATTTTCGAACAGGCTAGATGAGGTGGTCCAAAAACTGTCATATATTCACAGTCGTCCAAATATAGTTGCGAATATCTTCTTAAAAAGTCTACATCTCTAATGATAATAGTATTAATATTGATTAATCATTATTCTTGTATAGTTAATTTTGTATATATTTATTAAGTAATTCAATATAGAATGCTTCAGATACATAGAAAAAAAGATGAACAAACAAAAAAACTACCATTTTCTTTAATAAATATTTTCTTCGATATATTATCAAGAATAATGTCAAAAATATTTTCCTAGTTAAGTTGCAGGTTTAATGATGCATATTTGATGCCAAGAAGAAAAGCAAAGATAAGACAAACAATAAAACCAACTATTTGAACGATAATTATTGATGTAAATCGAATATCATATAGAATATCTATTGATCTACATGCAAAAGCACTGACTAATTGATTACATAGTATAGATATGACAAGACCAATAAATATATAAAGACTGCCAACAAATAAACGATTAGACTTCTTTGAAGAACCAAACGAACAACGTCCATACCAAATATGGGCCACAAAAGCCAATAGCATACCACACATGCACAAATAAAAGTTCAAACCTTCCATCCATATATAACCTTTGATTTTATCAACAGAAATTGTTGGTGACAATGAACATCGTTCTATAAGAAAAGAATAATATAACAAACAATCGAACACTAATGAAAGATTGTTTAATCTTTTGTGTAGTAGATTTAATAATTTATTCTCTCCATTTTTTTTTTAATTTATTTTATATAAAATATTATTTATTATAAGAATTAATCTCTTATATATTTTTTTATTCTAAATAAATTCATTCGAATAACTTACTTGCATAAGCTTTCTCGTACTGCGTATAATTCATTGATGAACCATTAATTGCAGGAAATGATAAAGCAAGAGTTTCAACTAAATCTAATTTCAACAGAGGTAACCACAAACCCGAATAGAAACATATTGGATATATCAGAAAATGTATTATTCGAAATACGTTAAACCAGTTCAATATACCACTTCTATTTGTTTTTAAACTAAAAGACAAATAAATAAACCAATCTATATATATATATATATATAGAAATCGTTTCAAAATTTTCTCTTCGAAAAAAATTTTAATGTCCTGTCTATTAACTGCGATAACATAGCACATTGTCTCAATCGTTTTAGAAATTAATTTTTCAAAACAATTTTTCAGCTATTTTCTTGTTGAAAACATTCAAAATTATGTTGAAAAAAAAGATATGAAGAAGAAACAAAATCATTTATTATATCAACATAAGACAACTAAATTGTCAAGATTAAGTTTTATCTACTATTCATTCGTTTTTAAAGCAGATCAATATGTTAAATGTTCAAGTAGTTGGATTTATTCTTAATTCTCAACACATTAGTTTTCAACTAAAAAAATCAAAAAAAACATGAGCACTTTTCTTCCCTTTTTGTGCTAATAACAAAATTTTAGAATCTCGAACTAATATTCTTTTAAGAAGGTTAACTTAATCACTCATTACATACAACAAACTGAAACTATTATTAAAAACTTTCATTGATATTCGATTCAATTTCTGTTATATATAAAGGATAAATTTTAACAAATTCTTTTCAATACAATAATCTTATTACTCGAGGTTGTCGTTATAAAATATTTGAAATAGGCTCCTGATACAATAAATATATCGTAACTGAACAAAAGTTGAGGAGAGAGAGAGAGAAACGATCAGTTGGAAGTTGAAATAGTCTCGTTTTTCTACACTAAAGCAAATGGAAAATCGTCATTGGTTGAAAAATTTCGATTCGGCTATAGTTGATCGAAATTATTGTGAGGATTTTAAACTTTTTGACTGAAAGCCAGGTATATACATTTGAACGACAAATAAGATTTTTTTATGTGAAACATTGAATTCTTGTCTCGAAAACTATAATAAGTTATTTCATTTAAAATAAGTTTCTAGATTTTTTTTAATTGATGAGAATTATTATTCTTTTTATAAAATCCTATCTATAAATGGCGTCGAGCAAAAATTAAAGAATATTTTATTCATTATTTAAGAGAACAGTTTGGTTTCAACTGAACAAATAAAGAAAAATAAATAAGGATGAATGTACAGAGTGGTTCAAAAGTCACCGAGCAGTCTTTGATTACGAATAACTTTTGATAGAAGCAAGATAGAGATTTGTGCTTTTCGCCATTAGATAAAACAATCTTCAAGGCGTCTATCTATGTAAGATTCATTAGGCTTGAAGACAGTTTCAATAGCTATTTCGAAAAAGATATCATTTTTCTTCTCCACTTTTCATAGATTGTCATTGAAGTCTTAACTCAACTTACAGCAAACTGCAGGATAAAGGACGCTATATTAGCGCTAAAATCTTCACATTTCCAATCACTATCCTTAAGGTATAAGTTTGGGAGAATGCTGGAAATATGTGAGGAATTTGCCGCTAACACTGCATACTTCAGCCTGCATTTTGATGTAAGTTGAGCTAAGACTTCAATGACAATCTATGAAAAGTGGATAAGAAAAATGATATCTTTTTCGAAATAGCTATTGGAACTGTCTTCAAGCCTAATGAACCTTACATAGATAGACGCCTTGAAGATTGTTCTATCTAATGGCGAAAAGCACAAATCCTTATCTTGCTCCTATCAAAAGTTATTCGTAATCAAAGACTGCTCGGTGACTTTTGAACCACCCTGTAGTTTCAGCTTCTATACACTCAATTGAACAGCCAAATGTCTTCAAGAAAGCTTTAACTCTACTATTATCAATAAAAATTGTGCTAATACAATTTAGTTCTATAAAAATAACCATCTTAACGTTAATATCATCGATAAAAAGAGAAAATTCTAAATAGGAGACAGATACAGCAAATTTCAAGGTTCGATAATAATCAAAGTTATCAAACAATATATATAAAAAGAGTTTCAACTGTACTATTGTATTCGTTTAGACGAATAAACATACCGAAAATAAGAATGAAAATTGTGCACGTCAATCTTTGACATTATAAAATATTCTTGTTTCTTCTCTTGATCAGATAACAATTTTACAAATACCATATTTAATTTGCTAAAAAAAAATTGATTAATCATAGAGACAAATCTGTAATATTTTCTGCAAAATTTCTGGAAAGATATAGAAAAGAAATTCTACTTCATTAAATAATTGTTTTAATTATTCTAGTAAACTTTGAAAACTCATAACATCTTCTAGAAACAGAAGACATTTCAATCTACAAATCAATGCAACTAATTGCTACCAACTCAATAAAACTCATAATGACAAACGATTTTCTACATAAGATCAGATACTTTGTCTTGGTACTTAGAATAGTTTGTTATATAAAAGAATTGATCCTTAATTAAGATTCTTCTTATTGTCACCTATTTTATCTTTCTATGTCTATTCATATCATAGAAATATGTTCATTCTCTTTTCCTAATTATTTTTAATTAGAATAAGTCATTCCAATAATTTTAATCATAGAAGATCGCATCTATTCGTGTCTACATTAGAACACAATTCTATTTGGATAAATTATCACTCTTATTCAATTAGTCACATGTACTTGTTCATCCATAAATTTCATCTAATACTTTTCAAGCTTTGTTACTTGATGTTAAATTTAAGAAAACATGACGAAAATATTATCATATTCCTTTATTATTCAGTTAAAGTTTTACAATCGAAGAAATTTTAGAATACAAAAAGATAAAGTTTGATTTTTTTTTGTAATTTGAAAAATATGAATTCAATAAATATATGCTTCATTTATTTTTCGTATAGTTTTACTTACATTTATTTAGAATAATTCTTGAATTTTTTTTATGAAATTTGTTTAATCAATGATGTTATGTGTGTTTGTGTTGTTTTTTCAGATAGATAATATATATATATATATATATAATATATGAGCATTTATACTGACCGAGAAGATAAAGAAAAGAATGAATGATCTAATGACTTTGTTTCCATCGTCGATTTGGATACTGTGAGAAAGAAAATAGAATGTGTGTATCGATCGATGGTAGAGAAAAAGATGTGGAAATGAACAAGCAAATAAATTTAGCGCAATCATGAATTTATGATTATTAGGCCCCAAACAGACTGAATTAATTCAAAGTGAATTAACCAATACAATTCGCGTTGCTATGCAAAAAGGCCAATCGTGTTTCTTAATTCACTTTAAATTAGTCGATCTGTTTGACCCCTTAGGCCCCATTCACACTGAAAAAAATAAAACAAATTAAGTAATGCGATTGGTGTATTATCATTTAAGTCATCTTTTTAAGATGAATTAGTGGTTAATTCACACTTAATTCGCTTTATCTTTTTCGGTGTGAATGGGGCCTTAGTCAACATTTCGAATCGAATCAAGAAACAAAATATTTTTATATGCTTTGATTAACCGAGCAAATGCACATGTAGATTTAATTTTTACATGCAAAGCCTACAGATTGAAGTTAATCATATAATCTAGGAATATAATTAATTGTTCATTTTTTTTATCTGGTCAAAGATTAAATGAACAACAAATATATGTTATGGCCCAAACTAGAATTCAGCTCAATTTAGAATTCGTCCAGACGAAATTGAAATTCTAATTTTGACTGTGATGATTATGGAAGAAACCAGAATTCTAATTTCGACCAGACGAAATTGGAATAATTTTTTAATGAATGAAAAATAGTAAAGAAAGATATGATTAAAATACCAACAAGTATTTTATTTTACAAAACTTTTTAACAAATATTATATAAATTCTAAACTAACGAGAGAACCTCACCAACTGATAACGCCCATTTGAGCTCATATTTTGCTCAAAGGTAGGACTCGTAATGTAGATAAAAAATTTGAAAGGATTCATCCTATTCGGTTGTTCTTGATGAGATATAGAATTTTTCATGTATTTTTCCTGGAGAGTCCCAGTTTTCCACCCAAATCATATTGTGGAATTTTCCCTAAATAAAAGTCTCAACTAGACTAGCTTTCATAGAGAATTTCACAATTTTTAGGGTGTGGGTGTGGGTGTGGGTGTGGGTGGGTGTGGGTGGGTGTCGGTGTGGGCGGATGTGCGTGTGACGGTATAGGTAATTCTGCTCTCTTCATCCACACCCACACCATACCCACATCCCACATCCACACCCGTATTCTCCAGACTTAGCTCCTTCTGACTACCATTTGTTCCATCCCCTTGCCGATCATTTGCGCGAAAAAAAATTCGACGATGAACACGACCTCAAAATAGACCTCGACAACTTTTTCAGCCAAAAGTCCCACAATCTCTACAAACGCGGTATCCTTTCTCTTCCAGAACGTTTCCGACAAGTCATAGACAATAATGGAGCATACATTATTGAAACTTAATTGTATTTTTGTAGTGAAAAAATAAAATAAAATTTAAAAAAAACACACAAAAACTTTGTTGCCAAACCCAATACTTACCAAAATTATTGAAATTTACCAATGAACACCATCGACACGATAAATATATCTTTTGGCCAGACTTTGTCACCTCGCATTATGCCAAAAAGACAACTGAATGGCTTAATGAACGAAAGATGCCCTTCTTGCCGAGATCGATCAATCCACCGAATGTTCGAAAAGCTAGACCCATCGAAGATTTTTGGTCAATGTTGACTGATAAGGTGTACAATGGAGGCTGGACGACTATGAATGAAAAGCAATTGGTCAACAGAATCAAAAGACAATTGAAAAAAATTGATTTGAAAGTCGTCCAGACTATGATGAATGGTGTTCGTGGAAAATTGCGAAAAATTGAAGAGAAAGGACCATTTTCTATTTTGTAAATATGTAGTTTTGTTCATCTCATATCGTTGTAGTTTTCATAAAAAGCTGTTAGCACAATTCCTGCAGGATTAAAATATGAAACATGATATACCTATTGTTACTAATTCCCTAAAAACAGCTTTTCTTGACGTATACTGGTCGTATTCCATCAACATTGCTAAATTTACAGCGTAGAACTTCATAAAAGAAATATTCCATGAATACTCCAATTAGATGTTAGTTGTACATAACATCTGATAGTCTCTTGAAGGCGGCTATCAGCCGCTGTGACGATCCATGGAGGGTGTCCGTCACGGTCTGTGATGGGTACGGGCCATGTCTGTCACAATATGTTGGGGAAGGGGTAAGTCCAAATTTCTACCCTATATAGTTCAACACTCCTTTCAAATCGTGTTTCACAAAAAATCAGAAAATAAAAGCGAAAGATGATGTAGATATAAGCGTTTTAATTTTGTCTCAAAACTTATTTGACCAATTCCATAGGATTTATTGAATAAATGTTTAACATTTTTATTCGAATGAATAAAATTAGTTAACACCTTTTTTGTTTACTTTAAATTTCATTGAAATAAACAAGAAAAAGATTTTTTTTTATTAATAACAAACTTTTTCTTTTGATTTTCTAATTAATGAAAAAGAAAAAATAGTTTGATGAAGAAAATAATATACAAATAAGAAAATAAATTTATTTGAATTCATTACAATCAGCAATAGTCACTGTTTTTGTTGTTGTACCACTTTTTGTTCCAGCATCTTCTATTTTTTTAAGTACTTCAAAACCTTCAATTACTTCACCAAATACAACCTAAATTAAAAATAAAATTGAAATATAAATATAAATATAGTTGAAATCTAAAACATACATGTTTATCATCTAACCAATCACATTTAACAAAAGTAATAAAAAATTGTGAACCATTACTATTTGAACCTGAATTAGCCATTGATAATTGTCCAGCATGTGTATGTTTTATATTAAAATTTTCATCCTAAATTTAAAAAATAAATATTAAATGATAATAAAAGAAAAAAAAGTGTTATATTACTTTAAATGTTCTTCCATAAATAGATTTTCCTCCAGTCCCATTTCCTTTGGTCATATCACCACCTTGTGTCATAAATTGTTTAATAATTCTATGAAAATTGGTATGTCTATAACCAAAACCTTTTTCATGTGTACATAAACAACGAAAATTTTCAGCTGTTAATGGTACAATATCTGCAAATAATGTTATTATTAATCTTCCAGCTCTACTACCATTTATTTCAATATCAAAATAAACACGTGGATTTGTTGCTGCTTTTATTCTTTTTGATAATGGTCGTCCTGTATCAAGATCAATTTCATCAATATCATCATCTTTTGTTGATGATAATTTTATTTGTTTTGTATTATCATTTGAATTATTCTCTACTGTTGATGTTTCATTATCAGTTGAATTCATTGCATTTGATAACCATTGATCTTCAGACCAAACTGGTTTTGAACTTGTTTCTTTTAAAGCCACTGGTTTAGCTAAATTAACACGTATTGATCGACCAAATAATTCTGAATCATTCATATTATCAATAGCTGATGCTGCATCATCAGCTGTTTCATATTCAACAAATGCAAAACCACGATGTTTTTGAGTTTCATAATCAATTGGTAATTGAATTTCAAATATATCACCTTACAACAACAAAAAAAAAAAAAAAATTTATTAATTAAGAAAAATTTTCAAATTGTTTTGTTTTTTTGTTACCAAATGGAATAAAAGCAGCATGTAAAATTTTTTCATCAACTTCTTCAGCTAAACCACCAACATAAAGAGTTCGTTTTGGATTTGCCATCTAGAGAAATATTAAAAGAACTTTTTATTTGTTGAAGAAAAAAAAAGAAAAAATAATAATTATATTTCTTTAAAGATTAATAACAAGCACAAATAATCTTTACATTATCTACATAACATATATAGAAAATAAATATTAATTAATTCGTCGTTTTTTTCTTGAAAATTCATTTGATTTTTCTTCTCTCCACGTACACATTTCTTTATAATCACACCATTGACATTTATATGCATCTTCAATATCAACACCTTCAGCTTCACGTTTACCAAGCCAATATCCTTCACTTTTAATAAGTAATTCTTTAAGATTATTTTCATCACGATCAAATTCTTTTCGATTTTTCCATGTTGGATCTGATTGAAGAATATATTCAATTGCACCATCTAAACATAAACATTATCTTATATAGATCAATTATTTTACTATATTCAAATCTACACTACAGAGAATATATTTATCAATTTAGTCATCTTCAAATTTATTATATCTTATATCATTTATCATGTCGACTAAAGATAATACAAACAATTTTTATCTTTTATTTACTATTCATTTCAAAATAGAAGGCGAGTGATTGCAAGTCGAATAACTCGGGAATGGAAGCAGCTAAATCTATGGAAAAATTTCAATGATCAATAATGGATCCATAGTATGAAAGTCAGCTGGACATTTCGAAGAGAGTTTTTCAAACACTTTTTACGTTGGATTTTGAACTTGAATTAAACCATTCAATAGAAAAAATTCATCTCTTTCAATCTACACAAGATCGAGCTTGATAGCTTTCTCCATTCGGTAGCTATAAACATTTTTCTGAGACTCTCGGAATCGGCCAGGTGACACAGAATCATCCTTAAAACTATTACACTCTAGGTAATCGACCACACTGAATTCATTGATGTTTGTTTTTTATTTCAAAGTGATCTGAGTTCACTGTTTCAATATTTTCAATATATGTCTTCTTTAAGACAAATAGCAATAAAAACTAGATTTAGGAAAACTTTTTTTATAATGAACTCAGGTCGTTTTGAAATGAAAAACAAACATCATCACTGAATTCACCATGGTCGATTACTTAACAATGTAATGGTTTTAAGGGTGATTTCGCGTCATCTGACCGATCTCGGAAGTCTCAGGAAAATGTTTATAGCTACCGAACAGAGCAAGCTATCGAGTTCGGCCTTATGTAGATTGAAAGAGAAGAATCTTTTCTATTGAATAGTTTAATTCAAATTCAAAATTCAACGAAAAAAGCCTTTGAAAAGCTATCTTCAAAATATTCAGAGAATTTCCATCCTATTGGTTCATTACCGATGGATAGTAGTATCGTCATCTAATTCTATTTGTATGAGAGATGTCCATGCCGACGCCATCGCTACGACGGCAGATATTTTGGGAAGAAATTTTAAAAATACATGAATTTGCACAAAATCTCGATGTTCATATATGTGACACTGTAAGACTTAACAAATCTGATCGATTAGCAGCAACAGTTCTAGTTCAAACCAGTCACAGCCTTAAAAATCAAAAAAATATTTTTGAATACCATCGTGACAACGGCAAGTCTTTTCAATAGTGCGAAGCGTCGCAGTAACGGCAGATTCTCAGCCGCGATGAACATCTATGATTTATATATTTAAATGTATCGCGATTGAAATATTGACAAAATTGTATGTGTCAGTCGGTTAATATTATTGTAAAGTTTAAATCGGAAAAAAAATATTTATTTCAAACAATTCAAATGTTGAAAAAGAAGAACATGTTTTCATGCTACTCTACGACGAATAGTTCGAGACAGATCTTTATTTAGGAAATTAAATTAAACTAAATCAACAAAATATAAGTATAATGAAATATTCATAGAGGTTTAAGAATAATTCCCAACCAATAACAAGTTACTTCTAGAACTGTTTAACTAATTGTCAATATTCAATCTATAAAATTCATCTACTAGAATAACACTTGATAAAGAAATTTTTTGAAAAAAAAATTTACGTCAAATTTCTGCTTGAAAAACGTGTCAAATCTTTTTCTGATCGGACATCTTATACTTATCAAAAAAAACTTTATTATAGACAATCTTTTTTTTTTTCGTTTGAAAGAATGTGTTAAGGTGTCGCAACTAGTTTTTCAATAAAACGTTTTTTATTATTATATAAAAAAGTACTTCTGTGAATGGAGAAATATTTGTTGAATATCTTTCTCGAATATCATTTTATACGGTTGAAAATTTCATGCTATTCCAACATAAGTGTCTCAACATCGATTTCTAAGGTTTGGGATCCTTAAAATAATCAATCTATATATAATGTTCAGTGTCTGTGTGTCTGTGACAGGTCAAATACGGCTATAAGGGGAAGGATCAAGGGCATTATATTGAAGTACCCAGAAGTCCTCAAGGGCTATTATATAGAGATACCCATCGGTCCTTAAGGGCTACATTATGAAGGTACTCAGAGATCCTCATGGGGCTATTATAAGGGGATACCCGTAGGCCCTGAAAGGAGTTAGGAAATGACAGAATAATGCTACAAGAGCTACCAAGGATAAAAAGTTATAAGGCCAAAGACTCATGGAGTATAAAACTAAGTGCGATATAAGAGTATGATGCTTAGGACTATCTATCTGTATACATAATATTGAGTGTCTGGATGTCTGTTACCGGATGTTCAGTGCCTATCTGTCTCAATGTGTCTGTGCCCGGTCAAAAGTCAATGATTAAAGGTCAAAGGTCGTATAAGGCTATAAAGAAGTAAGGGTATGAGAGGTAAGCCTATTAGAGATAAGGCTACAAGCGAGTAAGGTAATAAGGGTAAGGGTATAAGGGAGAAAGCTATGAGAGACTAAGGCTACTAAGGAGAAAGGCAATAAGGGAGGAAAGGCTATAGAGGGTTAGGACTATAAAGGGTGAGGCTATAGAGGAATGGGTTATACAGGAGATAATGCTATAGAAGGGTAAGGATCTAACGGAATAAGGCTATCGAAGATCAGGGCTATAAGCGAGTAATGCTGTAGAGGTTAAGGCTATAAAGAGCTAAGACTATAAAGGGAGGAAACTATGATACTGTAGGGCTTCTATGTAGATCATGTTCAGTGTGTGTATGCGGGTTAACGAATGAAAGACTAAAGGTTTGAGGTGATACGTTAGAGAGAAAAATAACCGTGCAGTATGCATTGGTTCTCGCTAGTTGATATATATATAAGAGGCAATGGGTTATAATCAATATAAATATTTGAATAGTAATAAATCTAAATAATATTTATGTATATAGAATAAAAATAATAAATTGTACATACTAGTTGTTATAGTAGGCATTTGAAAAGCTAATTTAATTAATAAATCAAAAGCATTTTCAAGTGTATTAATCTGAGTAAAACCACATTGATTATATTGGTTTAGTATAGAATCAGATAAAATTGTAGTTGGTTCAAGATTAAAACGTTGAAAATAAAGTGTTTTATCAACTTGTCCTTGTATAAGTTCATCAAGTAATGTTCTATAAATATTAACTTGAATTTTATGTGTATAAGTTTGTTGAGGTTTGGGTGTTGTTTTTGATGCACGTGTTTTAAATTCTACAACTTCTAATTGATTTGTACGTGGATCATAATTTATTTCATCAATTATACCACGAAAATATAATTTTCCCTCATACATATTTCCAAATATCTTTGAGAAGAAAAAAAAAGAAAAAGAAAAAAAATTGAATTGAAATATTTAAATAAATTTTACAGGCATTTCACGTGTTATATAAGGTTGATCCAGTTTATTCCATGTTAATAAACCATGAATAGCTTGTATCATATTTAATAAACGTATACCATAAGAATCTTCACGTGTTTGGCATTCAATAGAAACTTTAATTTGAATTTCTAATTCTCTATCTAAATGTAATGATGTTCCACGTAACATATGAATTTTATCATCAACACGTTTTATTTCTCCATCATCATTAAGAATAAATGGATAAAGAAATTTATATGTTAATTGTTGTTCACACCAAATTTGAGATGATATATCTGATACTGATAATATACCATGACGATATTTATATAATGGATTATTTTCAATATCTTTTTTTTTTCGATCTTCTTTTAATAAAATTTTTTCAGGAATATTTTCAAGATTTTCAGCATATGCAACTAATTCATCATCGTCAAAATCATCTTTTATTGGTCGATTTATTTTTGATGATAACGGTAATTGAACTGTACATTCACCATTCATTGATGTTACTAGAAATAATAATAACAATCATTATTTATCTTATTCATATATAGTTTATCATCTTTTCGAGATGTACTATCACAAATTTACTATAATCACAAATCTAAAGAAACAATCTGTCCACGTATCAACAGACGCACCAGGAAGGAGTCGAAGTCAGAACCCGAAATAAACCGGAGTTTTCGAGTTCGGTTAAAATGGTATAATTATGGTGAACGAATGCAATAGAACCGTAACTTCTAGTGATCCTTACTGACTATCGGTGATGTTTTTTTTTTCTAACTTGATTTCTAGATAGATCGTCACGATAAACAACAAATCTTATTGATAACAAGACAAAATAGCAATTCACCTATGCTCTATAGCACAATCAATAAAAACTAGTTGTAGTCTTCATCAGCTCAATCTCGGATACTCGAAAACTCCTGATCAGTTAACATATGCGTTTAAATCCCTTTTTAATAATTGTTTATCTCATAATGTTTTTTTTTATTTGTTAGACTTTTGATATTCTAGTCGTTAAATTATCGAAATCTTGTACTGATGTTCTGTAGGTATTTGTTTTAAAATGTTCCCATAGAAATTAGTTCAATGATATTAAACCTGGTAATCATGAATCCCATGATATTAGTCCACTTGTTCGAATCTTCATATCATCTAAAATATTGTTTATATGGAAACGGACAGCTTGTAAACAAGATGTTGTTGATTCTATCTTTCGAATAAGTGATATTTATTATCATTGGTTATTTCAAAGAAGGTATCTTTTCACTCAAACTAACAAATATATCTGATAAACGTTTAAAAATATCTTTACATAGAGTATGTTTGTCAACATCATTAGACTTCTTTCTATGGGAATATCTTTAAACAAATGCCAAGGGAACACCAATACAAGATTTCGATGATTTAACGATTAGAATATCGAAATAAAAAACAAAGAAACTTCACAGGAGTTTTTTTTTGGAAATTGTAAAAGGTCTAAATGTTTTGTATTCTTCCATGTATAAAACATATTTATAGGGTTAGCTGAAAGGTTCGGTGGAGGGGGTTAACTCCTTCTGGCCACACCACTGAGTCTTTCTCTTTTAATGCTTCAGTTTCTTGCATTTTTTTCTGCCATTTATAATCGGTCAAACTTTGCGCTATCGTTTATATGGATTCAATTTCACTATAAAACAAAGCCTAAATGTATAAGTCTTTTGACAACAAAGCTCATAAAACTGTTTTGTTTCCTAAACGATGATTGGTGAGCTGGAAGAAGTGAACCGATTTTATGAGCTTCATCATCAGACTTGACACAATTATGCTTCTTTTTCTAGTGAAATACCAAAACAAATGGATAGAAGTGATAACACAAGATCTGAACGATCTAAATGCCACAAAAAAAAAATGCAAGAAACTGAAACATTAACCCTCGGATGGTTTTTGTGGGTCCAGCTGAACTCATATAATACCATTTTTCGTTTCCTCCTACGTTAATATATATTCTTTTCCAACTCTCATAGCTAACCTTAGAAAAGACATCGCTCGAAAAAGAATATATATTAACGTAGTAGGGACGTATGATTCTTTATTTGAATTTCCGTAAGGTTGTATCATTTTCTGTTGATGGATATAGAAGAGGTATAAGATTTGATTTTTTTGAGCAAGGTTTGGCAAGTAGCGCCAATATATTTAATGAATAGATATTTTAATTCAAACACTAGAGAATGATCAGCTATATCAATTAATCAATATCTCCTACATCTCTCTTACATACTCTATCTCAATAAAGATAAAACTAAAGGAATGTTCATAAATTGAAATAAAATATCTAATCAGCAAAAAATGAAATATGGTATAATGTGAATCTAGCCGGATCCAAAAAGACCATCCGAGAATTAAAAGAGAAACATTGGATTTAAAAATAAAACAACGATTGTTTTTTGTATTTTAGTCGAAAGCAATAACTTTGAATACTATTTGAAAAATTAATTTTAATGGAGTTATTCGAATTTATCCGATCCCCTATATTATATCCATAAAAGAGTCATAGACTCGAATCCTGATAGAGTTCGATCAAATTGATTGAAAGTTGACTATATAGATAATATGAAAAGGAATGTCGTCTAAGAATAATTTCTCTTGATTTAAAAAAATGTAATTTTATTACTTGTTAAAGGTTGTTCAATTCCATCAATAATCGGTTTTGAAAATCTGGCTGGATCAAGTTGATTTGGTAAAATTGATTGAAATATAATCTGTCGTTGATGCATATCGTCTAGAATAATAATTATAATAAAAAATTGATTGATATATAATTGTTGCTTATATTTATCAAATATCCCAAATAATATAACAAGAAAAAAAAAAATAATAGACCAAATAATAAATCAGTTTGTTTGATTTTTTTTTCTTGTCTACAAAGAAAATGTTTTTCTTGTTTGACTTTACAATATAGACAACACAATGACAAATTGAAAAACAAAAAAAAGAAAAGAATTAACATGAAAAATTCCATGAATATATATTATTGTCTTTATGCTTTTTCTTTTGATCCAGGAGCAAAACGACCACCAGCACCACGTACACGATTCATTGCATGTCGATGACGAGATTCATGAAGAAATTTACGCTAAAAAAATAACAAAAATCTTCTTTTTTTTTGTTCTATTTAAGTAAAGTAAATAAAAAATACTTTTCGTTCTCGTGGAATTCTTCCTTCAGCTTCAAGTTTAGCTCTTGCAGCACGTCTTTTTAATATTCTATTATATTGTTTAGCATTAACATATAATGGTTCTTCTTCTGTTGGTTCTTGTGTTACAGATTGTTGATTTGGAACTGTTGAACTAGATGTTTGCATTTGAACTGTTTGTAATTGATTTGAATTAGCCGGTACCATCTTAAATAAAAAAACAAAAAATAATACAAACAAAAACAAAAACAATAAAAACAACTGATAACCATAATAAGTGAACCATTTGATGATGATTGAGTTTTAGTTGGTGTACCAATTTGTAAAATTTGTTGTTGATTACCAGTTAATTGTAAAGCACTTGCTGGAATTGTTATTGTTTGTTGACTTGGTTGAAGATTACTTAATTGTAAAACTAGAATAAAAAACAAAATATTTATTTTATTAATTAAGGGCTCCTTTCTCTAAAATGAAATTTTTAGTGAAGACGTATCTCGAGGTAGACACCTCACAATTTAAATTTCACCTCGATAGATTGAATCTATCAACAGTTACCACAAGATTATCGGTCAATATTTAGATTTCCGTGCGGCACAAATTTCTCCGATATTTCGAATGATAGAAAACTCGGGCTGATTTTAAAATCTAGCCAATATCTACCGCTACAACTTAATAGGGCTCGATTTTTCAATTCTATCCTAGTTTTTCTTTTTAGAGAATTTCCCTTATGAAATATGAAAAAGTCAATGGGAGTAGCTCCACAAAAGTTAGTTTGTTATAAACATTAATGAAGATATCGAAAAATCCGACTTTGTTAAATTGTAGCGCCACATATTGCCTACATTTTAAAAGCAGCTCGACATTTCTAACGTTTAAAATAGCGGAGAAATCTGTGACGCACGGAAACATAAAAATCGAAAATCCTATTTTGAGAAAAAAAAGCAAAATTTTTTAGAAAACACCTTATTTTATCCTATGAAAGGTTGAGAAAAGCCTGTACAATATTCTTAAATCATTAAACTATAGTGCATTCGAAAGTAAAGACTTTGCTCTATCTAATGATCTATAAATCAGAAAATCGAGAAGGTTGACCAAAATTGAGATTTTTGTAGGTAAGGAAGTAAAATAAATAAAATTACTTTGTCCTCCAACTTGTACATATTGTGTAGGTTGAGTTTGTTGTTGTTGTTCAGCTGTTTGTAATATAATTAATTGTCCATCAGCTGTTTGAAGAATTTGACCTGGTGTTGTATGAGATGTTGGCGATGAACTTGTTTTAAGAATAATCTAAACATTTTATTTTTTTTTTTTATTTTTTTATTTTTTATTTTTTTTTCTAAATTACTTGTTGACCAGAAAGACTTGCTCGTTGATGTAACATATCATTACTATTAACTAGAATTACATTTCCACCAGTTGTTCCTGTTGAACTTTGTTGAGAAACCTTTAAAAATATTGAAATTATAAATAAATTTAAAATAAAAATAAAAAAAAAACCTGTAAACCCGTATCCATTGATAAACCAACTAGAATAGATAGAAAATTTCAACATATTTTTCAAAATGAAAATGATTGAGAAATAAATGTCTAAATTAACTGGTTAGATTTGTGTAACCAACCCGAGTTTTTTTATAACTTACATTGGTTGTTAATGGTCCAACTAGAATAAGATTTTCACGATTGGCAAATAACGAACTTAACAATAGATTGAATGACTGTCCTATGACTATTATTGGTCGACGTATCTATGTGTGTGCGTGTGTGTGTGTCTTTATTGTTGTCGTTCTTTGTTCTCTCTCTCGCTGTCTCCGTCTGTTTAGTCGTATCGTTGGGTAGACAGATTGGCGTGTGTGAGACGGCAGAGCATATGATGAAAGAGGAAAAAAAGATTTTTTTTTTTGTTTTGTCTTGTAATTGTATATTAGATTCGTTCGACTCGACGGAAAAGTAGAATAACAGTCGGTCATAAGAAAAAATAGATTTGTCAATATATATATGTATATTAATTTAGAAAAAGGATTTCAATCTATTTTCACATTTTTTTATATCACATATGAAAATATAAATAGTCTTTAATAAAGTTGAATGCTGTTTACATGCGACATCTATCCAAGAAAAATTCATATAAAAATTTCACATTTTATTTATTGAAATTAATAAGTGACGCTCATATAACAATTGGCGCACCCTTTTCTCAAAGAATGATAATAGAATCTTAAAAAATACCCTAGTTAGATTTCTCTTGTCGAACACAATTGTCTGTTGCATATGTATCGACTAGTTCCTTCATCTTCTGTATTTTCATTTTGCAAAAAGTTTAAGATAGAAAATTCTTAGTCGTCATTAATAAAACAATCATATCTTTGTAAAACTCCGATAAATTTAAAACCATATTTTTCTCAGATAATAACTATAATCATCCTCTACAAAACTCTCTATTTCAATCAACTATTAGCAGATATGTTTCATATAGATAACGTCAATTTACAGAGATCGAAACTTTTTGACCATCCTTTCTGATTAGAGCACAGGTGTGATGCTAGTCTACTTATTATCAAAGTAACACTGGAATATACGACGTTGTTTTCTAGTTGATCGATGTTCAACTATCTTATAAATATATGGTTGAAATAAATTGACCGCACAATTTTTTCTCAATAGACCTCTGTTTATGTGTGCGCAGAGGAAATATCTTCACCTTTCCATGGGAGACAGAACGCAAGAAAAAAATGACGCATCACACTATCACTCGATTTTGTTTTTATAAGTATCTTTGTCTGTTCACGTGCATAGAGGGTGCTAGATATTGACCAAAAAAAAGCCGGATCTGGACCCGATCGGGTTCAGAAAAACATCGATCCGCAGCTCTCTACTCAAGAGAGTTCAAAGCATTTTCATTGTGACCATATCTAGACATACTTTTTCATTAATCTTAATAGGATTATTACATATTGAAAATATCAATATCATCTTCTTTCGTGAACAAATTTACTATAATGAATAAACTATGCTATTCATTTACGATTGTATTTCTTTCTCTATTAGCTTTATTTATCTCTATTAGATAATACACGTAATAATTTCACATGTTATAGTTAATCTTATTTTCTTTCGAAGTTCTTTCCTAATATAGATGATGAGCAATTAGAGGTTTTTATTGATTCGGATAGTATAGAAGCGTGCAGAAGGACAAGGTTAGGCATTTTACTACGGTATCTTCAGCTATATATATATGGTTTTTTATTTTAATTTGATAATGATTCTATTGAATTAAATGCAAAAAAATACAGCGTATGACAAATTTTTATTTCTATGATATATTTTCTCATCTAATATCACACTGTTAATGGTTAAGAGAAAAAACAAAAGAATATACTTTTTTTAACACTTTGTCCGTTGTGGTCATATTTCATTTTGACGAATAGAAGAACAATGAGGGCATTGTTGAGAAATTGATCAAACATGAATATGATTGTCATTGGATAATTTATGGAATGACATATATATATATATATGAACAGTTCATTGGCATTGTCTGTATATCTGATATTGAGATGGATATTTCGAAATTCGAATCATTACCAACTGAATTATGGTTACATATCCTCAGTTATTTATCATCTTTCGATTTATTTAAAGCCTTTTTTCGTATTAATAATAAACGTATTCAACAAATGATTGATTCTCAATCGTTTTTACTCAATACAAAATTAATATCATATTCGGAAATGAATCAAATATTCGTTATGCATAGTTATCTTCTTGAATTACGTACAATCATTCTCAGCAATTCATGTTCTTCTTCGGCTTTCTATAACTATTGGACAAAAAACCTCCCACCAATGTCTATAACACCAAAAGTTAAACAATTGATTCTACTAAATGCAAGCTATTACATATATGGTCTTGTTGATTCTCTACTTATACCTCTGTCAGTTGGTAACTCATTAGAATATCTTCATCTAATATTTCAATGTCCCGATCGTACATATATGATGTTTATCACTTTTTTGATTCAAGCACAAATATCTTTTCACACGATGATATTCGAAATAGAAAAAGGTATTTTGTGGTTTTTTTTTGTTGATAGATCTGAATATGTTGATGTATTTAATGATTGAAAATAAATTTGTTTAGATTGGTATTGTGATAGGGAAGTAGTATATTCGAGTTTATCCGAACTAAAAAATTTACATTGGTCATCTACTGTTCAATTGACTTTAACTATTCAATTTCCATTTGAAATGATTTTTATTCTTGAAACGAATGCGATACCATTTCTCGAACATTTGTATATAACCGTTGAACAAGAACAATTACGAATAAAACCTTATCTAGATGCGCCACCACCACAAATCCAATTCTGTGAAAGTGATATTCGTCAAATGACTGATGGAACTCGACTTCAAACTCTTGTATTACGTCATTTAGCTCTTTATAATGTAATAATATTAATTCGTTCTTTCAACATGCCTCTTTTGAATAAATTAACACTTGTTGATATATTTGATGAAAGTAAGTTATTCAAGTAACGATGAAATTCTTAGTTATGAATCAGGTTATACAAGATTTGACAATGGTAGTTAGTTTTCTTTTCAGAAATCTGTAAGTTCTAAATTAGAATTAATGCTTGTAAAGAGGAGACTATAGAATACACATTCATATGCAGACGTGTCATCATTGAAATAACTGACTTCGTCTTCAAATATTTTTGTTTACCAAAATATGTTTTTAAAAATAATCTGAAAGAAAATAGAATTTACTTTTTATTTGTAGCACTTATGCATTGTGAAGAATTTGGTCAAATTATTAATCATAAACATCTACCTTGTTTGAAAGAATTCTACTTTCTTATTTATTTTCCTGGACATTTATATGAAGCATTTGAAAAGATTTGTCAACATATATGATGTTACATGCTTCTTTAACAATCTTGCTTATCATCTTGATGAACAAGTTGTCTCTATCAATTGTTTTGAGAATGTAACGAAATCGGTCCTTCTCTTTTCTACTTCTCCATTGGACGTCTTATTACAATATACACGTACTATTCACAATCATTCATTTGCACAATATTCAACTCAGATCAATCGTCGTTCTATCAAATGGATATGTAATAAGATAGATAGTCTTAATCAGTTGACAACTACTTTCAACAAATTGGCTAGTGGACATTTAAATACACTTTATTTAGAATTCTACAAAACAAAGGTTAGTATACAAATAAAACTGATAATCATGTTCTTTGCGTTGTTGGTTTGTCAAATGACAAATAAACTAATGAAGGAACATATTCAACTGTCATATCGCTGTTGGATCGGTCATGTGCACAAAAGATAGACCTCAGTGAGTTATTAAATGCTTTAGAATAGTTTG